TTTCAATTTAATATAAATGTGGTCAATTTATAAATTGTTATTATTTTATTTACTAGAATAAAAATGTCCTAATCTAGGCACAGACCTTGTTAACCATAACAGGGTTAAGTCAGACCTCTGAGTTTTCCTTCTGCCTCTTACTAACTGATCCTAATACATTGGATAAACAGTCGGTCAGGCCAACCCAAACACACCCACTGCAACTAGAAGTGAATTTAGGGATCAGCTCTTGTAGCCTCATTTTGATACATAAGTTGAACAATCTACTGTGGTTTGCCTGGCAATACTGTCCCAGTGTAATTATTAATAGGACCCCCCTTCATTGCTAAGTGTCCCCATTTGGACAATTAATTATATGATCACCCACCATATGAGGAATTTCAAATCTGGAGAGTTCATGTGATCTAACCTTCAGACATGCAGTAAGTTAATGACAGAACTGGACAAATTTTAAAAAGTTGCTTTTCTTTACCACTTTACATATTAATCTGCTTTTCTAACATTTCAGAAAACGACAGTTTTTAGTTTCAAGTTTTAATTATAAATATCACTGCAATAATTTTACAAAAGTATAGCATGTCCACACTTCCCACTTAGAATCCTAGAGGATCTCACAGGGTTAGTTTCAGCCTAATGGCATTGTATCCAAAATTTCTGTTTTTAAAATTCAACTTACAGAAAACAATCTCATGCCAGCAATAGGGTGGTGGTGAAGCATATAGATTTGGCAGCCAGATGCCTGTGTCCACAGCCCAACTTCATCAATAATCAGCTCCATGGCTCTCATTATTTTGTGTTTCAGTTTCCTCATTTGTAAAACAGGAATGATGATGGTAACAATAGTATCTAATTCCCAGAGTTTTTGAGAACAAAATAATTGTATGTGAGTTGTATGTAAAGGACATACTATCACCTGGCACATAGCAAGCACCATGCATGTCTTAGCTTTGAACACTGTTTTTATTACCTCATCTGCTGTAAGCCACTCTTCCCTCACGTGCACTTCATACTCCTGCAGTGACAAACTTTGGCCAGATCATGTAGCTTTATGAACCTTGCACGCTCCCAAAAGTGAGTATTACAAAGGCAGAGGCTTTGTATTACTGTATGCCAAGTAACCAATTTCCATACTGGTTACTTGTATCCCAAGTATGGAAAAGACAAGAAAGTAGACTCTTAATACATACTTCTTAAATAAAAAGGAATAAAAGGATGATTAAGTTAGTTGACCTATACAGAAGACAGGTACTCCTGTTCCACATTTCTCTTGTAATTTCGTCTCACCTCCTTTAAGAAAAATAAATCCCACAAAACCCTGGATTTTGCAAAAAAATCTTGCAAACAGTCTCTAAGGAATGGAAGAAGACAAACTGAATGAAGAGGCAGTTAGGGATGTTGACAACAGGGATAGAATCCAGTAGAGAATTTTCCTGCTCTTTTGGTGGTCCATTTTACACATATCTCTAGAATTTTGAAACTTCATTTTTCTACATTGCCTGTAATTCTAATAGATGGACAGTAATTTATATTAATAAGTATCTTCTTTGAAAGACCAGAAAACCTACAAGGAGGGTAAAGTATTATTAGTCAAAAACATTCATACATTTGAGTTCCCTCTGATTACACTTTTCCTGACACCAGGTAATTCACTTGCACTGAATTTATTGGAGGTTTTTAATGCAGAAGTGGAGAAGATGGGAGGAGGAATAAAAAACTTCGGAGCATGGTGTACTTCATGGATCAGGGATCAAGCCTGGAAGTGATTCTCAGACACGCTTACAACCTGGAGCCAGAGGAAGTAAGTGATAAGAAAGAGGTATAAAAGGAGAGGGGGATATTAAAATAATATACTTCCTTGGTTCCAGAATTTTTTTTTTCTAGACCCATCGTTAAACATAAGAAAGAAGGAAAGTTAATTTTTCTGACTTATTCTCTCTCATAACTATGTGGACACTGCTTCCCTCCTAGTTTATAATAAATAGGAGTAGCAGAAAAAATTACATATGTGTGTGCGTGTATATATATGCACAGACATATAGGCAAGAATGAATCATTTAAAAACACAGCTGGACATAATGAGGGAGAAATTGTTAACTGATCTATTGTAATAGAAGAGACAGAGGTAAGGCAAGTTCAAAATAACCAATAAGCCAAATATTTCTAGACCTTAAGCTTCTTGGATATGGAGACGAAGTCTTAGTTATTACTGGGTTACCAGCATCTAGCCCAGGGCCTAACACAGGGGCTCTATAGCATGAATGAGTGGATGAATTTGGCTTCATAATCAAGACAGTGACATGTTTATTCTCGTTTGTGTCCAGAATTGGTGGGTTCTTGGTCTCCTTGACTTCAAGAATGAAGCTGCGCGGCAGACCCTCGCCACGAGTGCTACAGTTCTTAAAGATGGTGTGTCCGGGGTTTGTTCCTTCAGATGTTCAGATGTATCCAGACTTTCTTCCTTCTGGTGGCTTTGTGGTCTCACTGACTTCAGGAGTGAAACTACAGACCTTCTAGGTGAGTGTTGCAGTTCATAAAGGTGGCACGTCGGGAGCTGTTGGTTCCTCCTGTCTGGAGTTGTTCGTCTCTCCCGGTGGGTCCGTGGTTTTGCTAGCTTCAGCAGTGAAGCTGCAGCCTTCTGCAGTGTTACAGCTCATACAGGCAGCAGCGACCCAAGCAGTAGGCAGCAGCAAAATTCACGGCAGGGTGGCCTGCTTTTATTCCCTTGCCTGGCCCCCCACGCACATTTTGCTGATTGGTCCATTTTGCAGATAGCTGATTGGTCCGTTTTACAGAGTGCTGATTGGTGCTGTTTACAAACCGTTAGCTAGACACAGAGTGCTGATTGGTGCGTTTACAATCCTTCAGCTAGACAGAAAAGTTCTCCGAGTCCCCACCCCTCCCAGAAGCCCAGCTGGGTTCATGTTTCACTGCCAGTGCCCCGGGGACTTTGCAGCTCCTAGCCTGGGCACTCCGGCAGCCCAGCGGGAGCTTGTCCCAAGAGGAAAAGGGGGGAAACAAGAAAGAGAGGGAGACCTGCCATCGTGGCCAACGACCCCGCGAAGAGGCAACGGCGGTCCACGCACGGGACCTAGCCTCCAATCAGGCCCAGCAGGCGCCGGCCGGCCACACCGAGTGCTGGACCCGCCGAGCCCGCGCCCACCCGGAAGCCGCACCGTAGCGCGCAGCCCCGGCTCCTGCCCGCGTCTCTTCCTCCACATCTCCCCGTGAGCAGAGGGAGCCGGCTTCGGCCTCGGCCAGCCCCAGAAAGGGGCTGTCATAGCGCACCGGCGGGCTAAAGGGCTCCTCGAATGTGGCCAGAGCGGACGCTGAAGCCCAGGAGACGCCGAGAGCAAGCGAGGGCTGCTAGCATGTTGCACCTCTCACTTCCTCATTTTTCTCCTCTCTTCCCCGGTTCACCTTTGTCGGCTTGCGTCTGGTCCCTTCTTGACTGACTTCTGTTTTCTGAGGTAAGAATTCTTTGAAATTTTTTACCCCAGTTTATGTTAAGGCCACAGACCATGTGGAATCCAAACAAACAAACAAAAGAGTGGAACAACCACAGAGCCCACAACCACGGAGCCAACAACCACCGAGCCAACAACCACCGAGCCCAACAAAGGGCCACATAGAAGCCAGACCCACTACAGTGCTCTGCCCTTAAAGACAACAATGTCCTCCTTTTCAGCTTTGCCTTTTGGTTCAGATTTTTTAGAAACTCTCATTGGCTGCTGGACAGTCAGTGGTTTTGCTCTCTTGGATTAGGTGTACTCCCTCTGGTCCAATCAGCTGTGAACAGGAAGGATGGAGTCAGCTAGTCATAGGTGTTCCTGCCTTGGGTTGACAGAAAAATGCTGTGTTAGTTTGCTAGGGCTGCAATAAGATGGTATCAGAAACTGGGTGGCTTAAAAAACAGAAATGTATTTTTTCACATTTCTGAAGACTTGAAGTCTGAGATCAAGATGTTAAGCCATAAAAGAAGGGTTTGTCTATTCCAGGCTTCTTTCTTTGGCTTATGGATGGCTGTCTTCTCCCTGTTATGTTCACATCATCATCCCTCTGTTAGGTGACTGTACAAATTTCCTCCTTTTATAAAGGTACGAGTCATATTGGATAGGGCTCACTCTAATGACCTAATTTTAACCTAACTACATCTGTAAAGATCATGTCTCTAAATATGACCACATTCTGAGGTGCCAGAGAATGCAACTTCAGCATATAAATTTTGTGTAGGGCGGTCGGGGCTAGTGCATATCAGCTTCATTCTTTTACATCTCTATTGATTTATTGATTTATTGATTTTTTTTTTTTTTTGAGACAGAGTTTCGCTCTTGTTACCCAGGCTGGAGTGCAATGGCGTGATCTCGGCTCACTGCAACCTCTGCCTCCCAGTTTCAAGCAATTCTCCTTCCTCAGCCTCCCGAGTAGCTAGGATTACAGGCATGCACCACCACGCCCAGCTAATTTTGTATTTTTAGTAGAGACGGGGTTTCTCTGTGTTGAGGCTGGTCTCGAACTCCTGACGTCAGGTGATCTGCCCACCTTGGACTCTGAAAGTGCTGGCATTACAAGCATGAACCACTGCGCCTGGCCTTAAAATTTTTTTTTAAAGTTTAGATTTTGGGGGATACATAGTAGGTGTATGTATTTATGCGATACATAAGATATTTTGGTACAGGCATGCAATGCGTAAAAATCATGTCATGGAAAATTGGGTATCCAGCCCTTCAAGCATTTATCCTTAGTATTAGAAACAATCCAATTATACCCTTTTAGTTATCTTTAAATGTACAATTAATTTATTATTTACTATAGTTCCCCTGTTGTGCTATCAAACACTAGGTCTTACTCATTTTTTTCTATTTTTTTGTACCCATTAACCAACTCCACCTTTCCTCCATCCTCCCCGCTACCCTTCCCATCCTCCAGCAACCCTCCTTCTATTTTCTATCTCCATGAGTTCAATTGTTTTGATTTTTAGGTCCCACAAATAAGTGAGAACATGTGATATTTGTTTTTCTGTGCCTGGCTTGTTTTACTTAACATGATGACCTCCAGTTTCAGGTGCATTCTTTAACACAGCAGCAGAGAAGTGTGAGCATCTTTGGTATCCTATTAATGAAGGTTCTACCCTGACTGATTATCTAGGGAAAGCAATTGAATGACACAAGGAGCATAGAGTTTTGGACATAATTTTCTACAATCCCTTGTAAAATGAAAACATTTATTTCCAAAATAGTTAGAAAAGATTTATTTTCCCAAAAAGAGGGCTATAAAATTCTCTTTATCATCCTTGACATTTATTAAGATATCTAAAACTATTCCTAATGATGTAGGAAGTCATCTGTGTCCCCTGTTCATTTTTGAGGTGTGTCACATATGGGATATAGTAATTATTCCTGACATTGGAGCCTGGCCCTTGATGTTTCAGAAAACATAAAACCAAATCAGCATAAAAAACCACTTCCAAGGCATACCAAATTAAGCTGATGTTCAGTTTTCAATTATTCATCATCCCCAGGGCAGGAGGAATAGATGCCAGAATCAAAACAATGGAAACAAGCAGTCTGCATTTGGACTCTGTGGTATAGAGCTGTGTACATGGAATAGAGACAAGAAGAATGTGACAGAAGGAATATGCAGTTCCAGCACGACTGCTGCTGCCTTTGAACCCTACCAGGCAACAGCAGCCTCAATTAGTGGAGTCACAGTTCTCATAATCTATGCATATGCACAGCAAGCAGGGGACAAGTATGAAAACAAAGTGAGGAAAGGAAGGAGATACAAGTGAACAAATTTCTAAATACTTGGAATCTGCCTAAGTATCATCGAAAGAGTAGGGACATAACATCATGGGAAGCTTACTATGGACCGAGCAGAATCTAAAAGTCTAAGTACTTCCCTCTGTACCCTGATTCCATTGTCTTTACCTAAAAGTGAGAAACTAAGATATATATATATATCTTATGTATCTCATATATATCTTATATATATAGTCACATTTCTCACATCCACATTATCTGCTGTTTAGTCCTAAATCAGGAAAAAAGTGGTTTCCAGTTAATAGTGGGGCAGTGAACATGAAGATGAGCTTAGGTGGAGCACCAGCGGGTGACAGTACCTCACAGTGCCTACTGTTATTTTGTAGGGCAACATAGAAAATAACATAATTAACTCTATGAGGCATCCCTCATAGAGTTAATTAACACTGCAAGCTCGACTGCCTCATAGCAGTAATAAATGAACTTGTTAATGATAAGGCTGACCCACAAGGCCTTTCCACTGAGAAATTAAAGGGTGGTACTTTTTGTTTTGTCCTAAACATTGAAATTTGATCAACAATTTTATTTCTGTAGAATTTTGTAACGATTGATGGGCTGAAGTTTGAAATTCAGAAGAGAAAGGATTTAGAAAGATCTTGGAAAAGGCACTCTGTGTTTTACCAACATACAGGTAATACTTCATTTCTTAATGAAAGTGTAGGAGGGAGAAAGGAGCTTATTTAATGAGTACTTAAGAGTCAGAATTTCTTCCAGAAATATGAGTTTTCCCATTAAACTCACAACCGTTCTATGAAGTACATTATCTTTGTGCCAGAGTATGAACATAATTGTTTAAGTATGAAAACTTAGCACTGTTTTTCATTTTCCTTCCTTCTTTTTTTTTTTTTTTTTGTTACATTGGAAAGTCAAAATGTAAAATTTCCTCCTTACCCTCCTCTTGCCCTCTGCTCACTGGGAGGGTTTGAAAATTACCTTCGTCCAATCCTGGATGAAAAAGAAACTCATTTTTCGTTGGTTGATTTTCCTTGTAATGGATCACTGAGGTCAATTAGGAAACAAACAAAAAGAATAGAGAGATTTCCCAAAGAAGCAGAGTGATTTGGAAGAAAAGGGAAGTAGACAAGAGCCCACTCCTCCAAGCCCTTATGCCCCTGCCTATAAAGCAAAGGAGGATTCCCTCACTAGGGTTGATGGAGAGAGGGCTGAAGCACTGGAGCAGGGTACTCATAACACTTCCCTGGCGAAAACTCCTGGGAAGCTGAAAGACTCCAGAGAAGAGTGCTTGGGTGATACTGCCAGGACCAAGAATTATAGGACCTTAAGCAAATCCTCCACATTCACCAAGATGCCTTCATTCTTACCTGCAGCCTCACTGTATTTCAGATAGGTTTCTTTCTGACTATAAGTTCCCGGCCTCTTTTTTCTTAGTGCATTTGCTTTAGAAAACTTGGAATTGCAAGTTATTTTTTCTGCAAGAGGTATATAAATCTCTCAGCCTCTTGCCAGTTTTGCACCCAAAGAATGTCATTTTCAATGACCTGTGAGTCATCCCCTTGAAATGTAATCATCAAGAAAGATAGGGTCCTATCTCCTCATCTTTGTAGGAGGGTAGGGGCCTGACTTAGATCAGCGCCAGTGAGAAAATACCAAAGGCCTAATCACATTGATCAATCTCCCTGCTCAGTGGTCCTCCAATACTTTTCCAGCAGTTCACCCCAATGCTTAAAACCTGTGTTGCTTTTCATTCCAACAAAGTTGAGTTCAACATCTCTCCCCTATTGTCATAGTCTTGATCCTTATTGCAATAGTCTTGAATAAAGTTTCCTTGCCTGTTTAAGTTTTTTCAGTGTAATTTTTCTTTGACAACACCCTGAGACTGGAAGAAAAGAACACAAAGAGGGGATTAAGGAGACATTCACATGGACGTGTCAGAAGAAACCTATGTGGAGAAATGACCAATAACCAGAAATACCCTCTTCTTAACTCTTTGACACTGCATATGAAATACAAAATGTGGCATAGACTGGGTGACCTCCTGCATGACTTTTAAATTTCCTATCATCAGTTCAGCAGAATGGGAGCTCATGGTAAAGATACACACAATAAAGTGTTCCTTCTCACCCTCACAGCTGTTCATACTACTGTCACTACCACGATGCCCTTTTGTGATGGACTCAATGTTTCTATTCCTGTATAATTCATACGTTGAAGCCTTGCCCTACAATGTGATGGTATTTGGACACATGACCTTTGGGAGGTAACTAGGTTTAGAAAAGGTCACGAGGGTGGGTCCCCATGATGGGATCAGTACCCTTATAGGATGACAAAGAAGGGAAAGATAGGAGCTTGCTCACCTCACCACATGAGGGCCCTCACCAGAACCCAACCACACTGGCACTATAATCTCAAACTTACAGCCTCCAGAATTGTGAGAAATCAATTTCTGTTGTTTAAACCACCCAGTCTATGGTATTTCGTCAAGTCAGCCTGAGTTAAGTTGCTGATTAGTGGGGTAAGAGCAAACAAAGGCTCAAGATTTAGTTCATGGGTCAAGAGACATGAGGATGGGGTAGAGACATGAGGATGGGGTAGAGCCATCTGAAAAAGAGAAGCCAAGAAAAGTTAAGGAGGTTAAGTAACAGAGTGGTAGATGAGAAATAATCACCTGGGGAAGTGGAGGAAGAGTTTATAAGAGATTACAGGTAAGACGGGATGTTACAAGAGATGAGGCACAAGGAATCATGCTTACTTCTGGAAAATGGGCAGGGTTTGGCCTAGAATTATTTTTAATACATCAAATTACTTTTGCATCATGACATAATAATAATAGAGATGCTGTTACGACTATTGAAGACTTTTAAAGTCTGAGTTTGTACTTTGCAGTCCTTTTTCCACAATAACGTGAAATTTAGATAACATAAGACACAGAACATTAATCAAACCACCATTCACTCAGTAGCTTCAAATCATCTCTTTCCCTTCCTCATCCTTCTCATTGTTTATGAACAACAGTCCTTCTCATCATTTGTGAATAAGCCCTGACAATCTCTAAAATAGTGGATTCCAACCACTTCTCACCTTCTCCACAGCTGTGGACCCAGGCCACCCTCATTTCTCCCTTAGACTACTGTAACAGCCTCCCCTCTGGTCTCCTTGTTTCCATGCTTGCCTGCCTATGATCCACTCTCCAGAGAGGAGCACGAGTAAGTTAAAAATTGTATATTTTATCATTTTTCACTCCACTGCTTGAAACTATCCAGTGGCTTCCCATTACCCTTAGATGAAATTCCTAATTCCTTATAATGTGATCTGCCTCCTGCCCACATCTTAAGCCACATTTCAGATCTCTGCTTTAGAATAGTCTCATTTGCTATATCTCATACACAGTATGCCTTTTTCTCAGCATTTTTGCCTCCTCATTATTTGGTTCTTAGCTTCAATGTACCCTTTTCAGACCAGCCTTTCCTGATATGTCTAGCTGCATAGCCCAGTCACTCTTTGTCCCACTGCCCTTTCATCAATATACTTCTATCTGATGTTGTTATTTACTACTTATGTAATTATACATTACCCTTCACCCCCAAATCTAATGAAGGCAGGGCTTCCATTTGTGTTCTGTGCATTGATATGCCCCCAGTACCAGAGTGGGGACTCAAATTCCTTGACTGAAGTCATTCAATTACAAAGCAAAAGATCTGAAAGTCAAAAGAGGTTCTGATTGTCACCAAGTTTATGCTATTTAAATCGTGCCATAATCCTTTATAGTGTATCCCTATTTCTGTGCATCACAAGTATCTCATGGTGCTGGATCCAGATCTTTAGATGGGGTTCAAGGCTGACTCTGACTTTGTCCTGCCTCCCCATCTAGCCTCAATTCTCAGCAGTTTTCCCTCCTGTCTCTCTTCTTTGCATGTTCCTGTATGCTAGGACTTGGGACTTCTCTAAGTGCCACAGATTTTCTGGTTGGAATGCCCTCACACTTGTCCTTCTGCCAGAAATACCATTTTCCTTCTTTCTGAACCTGCATGAGTCTTATACACCTTATGATCTCAAGGGTAATCACCTCCTTTTCCTGACAGGATTGGCTGTGAAGCTAATGCTTCTGCAGCAGATGTCTACATGCCCTCGGACTTGTGTGTGCATGTAATGGGAAGTAGCTCATATCTGCCAAGCTTCCATCAGCCAACAACTGCCTCTGTTTGCCTGAAGGCCTTCTGAAGCTTGCTCTCTGCTTCTCACATGCAGCTGGAGAATGCTGGGAAGCTTATGGCCCACTCAGACTTTGAGGTGTGTTCCACACTGTCATGCTGAGTTCCCCAGCAGTGGCTTACAGCAGTACCTTGCTTTATATTGCATGCATTATTGGTGGCCTTTCCTTCCTTTCTTATTTTTTTTTTTTCCACTTCCCAACTGGTGTTTCCTTCACCTCCCAAATAAATAATTTTCACTCAAATCCTTGTATTAGGTCTGTTTCTTGGGGGAAGCAAAACTAAGAAAGAATCCCATCACACTTATCTCAGAAGGTTTTTTTTTTTTTTACCAGCTGACCGCCAACAGCCGTCACCTGGCAGCAACATGGTGGATCTGGAGACCGCAGCATTGGCACCCTTGGGCTTTGGGGATGCCGTGGAAGAAGAAGGGCCCTGTGTAGCGGCTCAGAGTGGAAAAAGTAAAGTGGAGCATGGGTGGGAGTTGCTTCGCATGAGCCCCCAGGAGAGAGCATCAAGGATCCTGATGCTGGGGCCTTTCAGCATTCCACAGCGCCCATGCCTGTCCACCCTGGTCGTACTGGGGCCGGCCTCACTCACCCCTCGGAACCCTAATTCGTTCAGGTGTCCAGAGGGCACAAACCCTGAGCCCTCGGGCTGTGCTCCTCCCCAGTAAAGGGTCTCAGCCCCTGGTGGAGCCAGGCCCGCAGGGCAGCTGTACCCCGCCTGCTGCACAGACTCCTTGGCTGAACAGGAAATGTTCCAGGGCCTGCTGCCAGCAGAATGCAAACCCCTGTACGCCTAAAAAATGTAAGGCCCCCACGCCCCCAGAGCCATCTGCGCCTTCATCTTGCAGGGTTTCTCCCTGCACGCCTGTCGAGAGGCCACTGCGCGGCATCTCCCCTGCTCAGGGGCCCAGGTAGCTGAGCGTCTGCTGCTTCTATTCAAGCCTGTTCAGGAAGAAAGATGGTCAAGACAAGAAATCAACTAAACTCCGGGCAGGACCCAGTCCCGGGTGACCGTCGGCAGCTCAATGCCAGGTGTGAAGCTGTTAATGCTTTTGTTAATTTAAGAAAGAAAACCCCGCCTCCCACCCGCGCTCCTGCCCCCTTTCCGTGGCAACATCTCTGGCCATTTCTGCCCAGTAGCAGGTGCTGACAGGGCAGATAGCGTCAGCTGACCCTGACACCTGGAGAGGGCCTGCACCCAAGCCCGACCTGGCTCCTCGCTCCTCCCCCTAACCACCCACTCCACGCTCCTGCTCTCCTGCTGGGGACATTCATGACTTAGATGGTGCCCCAACCCAGGCCAGCAGACTGAGCCGCGTCGCGCTGGCATGACAGTGCTGACTAGCCTGAGCTATTGGGGTCTTTGAGGTGGGGGCAGGGCGTAGCCACAGGGGCCAGCAGAGTCGAGAGCCAGGAAGGAGCAGGTGTATTACAGGAACCCCGATCAATGCCGG